ATCTTTGGGTATGTGCGGGAAAAAATTTTTCATGACTCCCGCCAAAAATTTTGGGTTGAAATATTAATTAGCGACGTTCGGGCAAACTAATACTGCCCCCCCCCAAAAAAAAAAACAAGATTAGGCCCATACGTCCATGTCTCGATCTCGACAACATCCATGCAATACAATTGCAAACAAATTAAATTTGTAAAGTTATTATAATTTACTGAATTTAATTCTGCGTGTACAATTGAACAATATAACCTGTCGCGTACTAAACTTATATATGCATGATTGCAGCTCAGGGAAAATAAAGGCAGACAGTTTTTATTTCGATAGTTTCCGACATGTAACCTGGCCTGGCCAGTTGCATGTTGTTTAGTAAAATGGCCGGTTATTTAACAGCTGACATTTCTTATTCAGTATAATATGAAATTTTTTTGGTGATATTTTTTGTGAAGTGTGAAAGAGAGCGGGTCATATTTACTGCCGGTTAGGCCGTCAGATCAGCGTAGGGTTTGAGATCGGCCGCGGGGTCAGCTTATTTTATAAAAATGAACTTTCACTATATATAATTACAGTCACTATACTGGCGGCACTTTAATAAACAGCCATGCAGCTGTGCATTTATAACTTCGAATTATTCAAACTTCATGTCATTATATAGGTACTTCTAGTAAAGCTTTTTCTCGAATATGAGCCCACGTCTGCAGACACTTGTATATATAGAAAAATAATGTCAATCTAACTGTACATGTGAACATTTTTATGTAAACATTATGTACCGAACGTCATTTCTCGTGAACAAATATAAGATAAAAATACCGCATGAAAAAATATTTGAATACTTACTTCACTTCTTCGCTAAGTACTGTATACTTATCGTCTAAACGATTTACATATAGAACAGCACGTAGCCTATACAAGATTACCACCTGGTCCCAAAAATTTTGTGTAAACTTTTGTTGTAAAATAAAAAACAAAAATATACAATTCCATACAAACAGGCCCTAAGAAGTCTCTTTGCATGCAAGCTTCGAAAAGCGTTAATATTTGATTTAATTTAAATCATTGTTAAATTCCAGGATCATGCAAAAGTATAAAATTCTTTACATTTGCAACGCTTTATTATTAATATACTGTTGTTGCTTTTACAATATAATCGCTATACGAATATAGATATAAAGAATTTTATACCTTTGTATGATCCTGGAATTTTAATAATTTAATATAAAAATATGGAAAATATGGAAAATATTATGGAAAAGCAGGGAAAGTTTCAGCAGAAAAAAATTATTATAAGAGAAGTGTTAATTTTTTTCTAATTTTCATGTCGTCTTCAGCTTCATCAATCGAAGAGAAATCAGAAGAGAAATCCAATGGTACAGTAATCAAAGCAAAATTATTGGTTGTAACATTAAATTCTAAGCTTTCTTGGAATGACCATATAGAGAATGTTATATAAAAAGCATCCCGAAAATTTCATTTTTTGGTACAGCCATGAGAAATCCCTATAGCTTATAGCTTGTGATGCATTGTATTAATCATTTTACGTGCAGTAGAACTTCATGGACTATAATTGTCCATTTTTGCCATGCAGTACCTAAGTACAGTATTTAAGAGCAGATCTAAAAAAGCGCATTCAATTCGCGGAAGAGAGCAGAGAACTCGAGCTGTACATTGCATGAATGGCAGATGTCATACTGAGGCACAGAGCATATCATGCCTGTTATTCAGCAACACTATTGGTTCAGGCAAACATTACTCCGTGTAAAGGTCGTGACTTTTTCACCAGAACAAGACGTTCATCTCAATAATAGGCAACCCTGAAAGTAAGCTAAAACATTTAGTTCCAGATGATAACGTTAAGACAAGATTCAATTTAATTCAACAAAGAACATTCACAATATACGCACCACAAACAAAAATGAGTTTTTGTTTTAAATTTTTATACTTTAACATGTAAATCATATATTGGTCATTGTTATTCACTCGAAAATGTTGAAAGAAATTTACCCACTCTTCTCGTATTCTCCCACTACACAGGGACGTAAATCCTGGTGGGGGAGGTTGGATTAGTGGCTCCCCCCCCCCAAAAAAAAAACCAACAAAAAACGTTAAACGTAAAAAGCTGGTAGCAATATATGTCATTTAAGGTGGCTCGCTACAGTTTATAGAAATGTTGAAAATGCGTAAACTATAGATCACCTTTTTGAAGAGATGATGCTCTTTACAAATCGAAATTTGTATATTATATATACAGAGACAATCAAACAGTCGAAAATTGGTCAGAAAAGTGACGTCACCACTGTTGCTATGGCAACAATGACGATTCACGATGGCCGATATTTTGGCTTTGAACGCATTTTACTTTAAAAAAAGGTCAGTTACCCCCATTTTTTATTTCAGAAAACATTTTCTTATAGTGCAACGCACTATCTGACCAATTTTAAAAAAATTCTGTGATGCAAAAAAAGATTATTTCGAAAAACCATGTTTATAAATTTTTTAGAAATTTGGCATTACAGAACTTTTTAAAAATTGGTCAGATAGTGTATTGTACTATAAGAAAATGTTTTCTGAAATAAAAAATGGGGGTAACCGACTTTTTTTAAAGTAAAATGCGTTCAAGGCCAAAATATCGGCCATCTTGAATCGTCATTGTTGCCATAGCAACAGTGGTGACGTCACTTTTCTGACCAATTTTCGACTGTTTGATTGTCGCTGTGTATATAATATACAAATTTCGATTTGTAAAGAGCATCATCTCTTCCAAAAGGTGATCTAGTTTACGCATTTTCAACATTTCTATTAACTGTAGCGAGCCACCTTAAGAAAAATATTCTTAAAAGCCATGCACACCGGATCGAACTAGAATAATTTTCTTGGCAAGATTTCAATTCAAGATAATTTTTCTAATTTTGTCCCATGGGTAAGAAAAATTTTCTTATTAAGATTATTTTTCTTATTTCAAGAATACGTTCTAGCAAAATTTTCTTATTACTAGAAAATAATTCTTGGGAAACTAAGAAGTTTTTTCTAGAAATAAAAAAATTTTGCTAGAACGTTTTCTTGAAATAAGAAAAATATTCTTGATAAGAAAATTTTACTTACCCACGGGACAAAATTAGAAAAATTTTCTTACCAAGAATTTTGTTCTAACCAAGATTAATTTTCTTATTTTGAGAAAAATTTTCTTGAAATCTGATTCTTACCTAGAATATTTTACTTACCCACGGGACAAGTAAACTTTTCTTAAAACAAGTAATTTTGTGCTTAAAATAAGTAATATTTTCTTAAAACAAGAAATTGATTTTTTGCATGTGTACTGTAAGTAATTCGGTAGAATTGTAATCAAACTTCAACTTAAGGTAAGTCTCGTTTAGTTTTTAATTCTACCAAATCACTACATACATCCGGGTTACCATGAGATTTTAAAGCAGTGAACACAAAATGACACCTAGCAGGAAAACCTATTGTCATTAATACACACTGCAAAACAATGATAAACATATAATATCAACTTATCAACGTTTTAACACAGCCAAACTCATTTGGTTGGTAACAGAAACAGACTTATTATAGAACTTACGAAATGTCGATTCGTCCCTCCAGCCAGCTGTGGCTAGGATTACATCTACCGATACAGATATGGCTGCCTTGCTAGTGGATGCAACCCCTGTGCTGTGTGCTGAAAACTTCGATGTGTCAACACCTGCTTGTCCGAGCAATGTCTTAATCCACCGTCCAACCGTTGACGCAGTTAGAGCACTATAGGCTTAATAAAGGACACTAATAGTTTTGTAGTCTGCAACTTCTCAGTGACACTCATGTTCCATACACACACATCTCCGTAACAGTATACTTATACAAACACTGCAGATTTCCAAATACTTTGCCAGGTCGGTCTTGTTTGACGTGTTCTGTAAGCGCAAATCGATAAGAATCATCCGTCTTAGACATATAATCAGCAGAAATATCCAAAAACGTCAAAGTCTGACACCTTTGCCCCGTTGTGAGCGCTATCAATGTTACTAATTTCAAAGTAAGTTCCTTCAGATATAGCTTTTCTAAAGGCCACAAGGTGGACAAATAATCAAGGACAAGGTCAACTGGCCACGTAAAATGATATTTTGGGACCGGTTTCATTTCATTGAACACTCCTTTGAGATAACAGCAAATTAGAAAATGTTTGCCGATTGGCACATGATGTGAATCCACGAGGACCTCAGGGATGAACCAGGTTCTGTTGAGTTACTGTGAGAATCCGTGGAACATCGACTAACAGACTGAGAACTACCGTAAAGAATGGTTGGGTAGTCCATAGCGGAAGCACAAGAATTCCGGTTGCCCTGTCTTGTATGATCTTTTGCACACATCTAGATACAAGACAAAATGGGGGGAATGCATAAAAATAAAACCATGACCATGTGATCGAAAAGGCGTCTATGAATTTAGCCTTTGGACCTGGTTTCCAAGAAACATAATCTTGGAGTTGGGCATTCAACCTACTAGCAAAAAGATCTATGTCTGGTTGGCCAAATAATGAGACAATTCTTTGGAAAGTAGGTAAAGCTAACATCCATTCCAAATTTAAATTTAAATTCCGGGACAATTGGTTAGCATCAACATTGGCAGATCCGGCAATATGCGCTGCTGACAACCAAATTCCCTTGGCAATGGCCCAACTCCAAATTGTTTGAGCAATAGTATTACACTCTACAGATCTACATCCACCCGTTTCATTAATCTATGTGACAGCAGTTGTGTTATCACACATAATCCGCGCATGTATGCTACTTCTATCACGCAACAAAGAAAAAAGGGCTAATTGAATGGCCAATAATTCCAAACAATTTATATGTTTTTCAGTTTCATCATGTGACCAAATGCCACATGTTGTACCCCCATTCTCAAGCTTTGCTCCCCATCCTGTTCCAGATGCATCAGTGTAAATTAATTGTGATATCTGGAGTGGTATGAGAGATTTTTCTAGTGGACAACTGAATGTTATTTACCCACCAATGAATCTCCTCTAAACTGTCAGCAGACAAAGACATTTCTGCATCAAAATTACCTTGATGCATTCGTAAATAATAATCTTTGTCTGCCTCAATATGACGATAATGAAGAGGGCCAAACTCAACTCCAGGAAAAGATGACACTAGAGAACCAATCAAAGAAGCCACCTGGCGAATAGTAAACAATGTGTTTGGGCGCAAAAACTTCTGACACAACCGGATAAGTTTTGCTTTCTTATCAGGTGTAAGAGTAACGGTCATAGTTACAGAATTCAAAAGAAACCCAAGGAATTCTATACATTGTGAGGGTAAAGTAACTTATTTATCAGGGTGGACTTTAAACCCCAAATTAATAATCAAATTGACTGCATTAAGGGTAGCCTGGAGACATTCCGTGTGAGACCCCTCTGTATAAAAGGAGTCATCAATATAGCCAAAACAGGTGTGTCCAAACTGAGATCTAAGTGTGGCAAAAACTGGCTTCATGACCTTTGTAAAAACTCTAGGACTACTTGACAAACCCATTGGCATTGGCAAACAAGTGAAACAATACAATATATCCCGCCTTATAAATTTTAAATAATTTTAATGCTCCAATGCTATAGGAATAGAAGAATAAGCATCTTTAAGATCAATGGAGGTCATGAAGCAACCAGGTCTCATAAGTCTGATAGCAGTATCTAAAGTATCCATTTTAAAATGTTGATATGAGACCAAGTGATTGAGTGCCTTTAAATTGAAAATTACTCTACTAGTTCCATCTTTTTTGGGTGTAATAAATACAGGTGACAACACTTCGCCAGATTCAGGAACGGAATGCCTAATTATTCCTTATTGGAGAAACTTTTCAATTTCCCCATCTACGACAGTTTGCTCAGTCTCATTAAAAGTAAAATATGGTCTAGTATTACTAACATATGACTCTGGTAAGGAATCAAATTCAAGATGACAATGAGTCACAGCATCCAAAATAAATGGATCTGATGTAATTTCTGTCCAAGCATGTACACAATCTTTCAAACCACCAGCCTTAAATGGTGGCTGATTAGCAATTAACGTAGCGATAGCATCATTATTTACCTCGGTTGGTGATTCTAATTTCCTTTGTTGACTGATGTCTTGGTGCTTGTTCGGGCTCCGCTCGTGACCCCGGCCTACCCCTAAAAAAGAGGAGTACAAATTTTGATCCGCGACCTCAACGTTACCGCTAGTCTGATCAAAACGACCTCGTCCACGTGCACCTCTGCCAAAGGGCACCCTCTAAGGATCTGCACGGTAATCCGAACGAGGCTTGGTGGTAAATTTGTTGCTAAGCTTATTGGATTTAGTAAGCTTCTCCACTTCTTTATTCAACTGATCACCAAAGAGATAAGTTGAAATGGCCGTTGATGGGTTGCACAACGCACCATACTGCTTGTTAAGATCAGGACGAATCAAGTCCCTGCGTTTCATGTTGAACTCTCGATTTGCTGTCAACAATAAAACAGCTGCATGGGGAAGCTTAGATTTTTTATCCCCATCAGAAACATTACACACCTCTAAAACAGCACAAAGGCCTGAAATCAACAGACCCTGTGTCTTTTGAAGAGCAGAATCAGTATTCCTAGTTTCCTTCCTCATTTGCTGCCAAATTTGTTTGTTAACCTTATAATTAGGTGCAGCTAAATTAGGACAATTCTCTGGTCTGATATACTGTGATTGGACCTCAGACAATTTTTCTTTTGTCAGTCTATCTCTGAGCAGGCTATTAACAATTTCAGCCAACCCAGGAAGAGCTGGTGAAGTTTTTTCTACCACAGAAAACTCCACTGCCAAATTATGGAATGAGCCAGTATCAGTTGGATCTTCCTGGTCAGGAATGTTCGGCTAAACAAAATTTTCAATTTTATCTGTAATGCCAGGCTCTGATGCCTCACCAGTGAAGGCAACTTCCTCATTCTCAATGGCAACAGACTCAAAATCTGTATAAATCTGATCAATATTATCTTTAACTTGTAATAAATTATCCTTTAAAGGGGTATGTGTACCCCGCACGTAGCCCTGGCCAGAGGGTATGCAGGGGGGGGGGTGTTTTCATGATAAAGCAAAAAATATTAGAGAATAAATGAGTAATTTGAGTAATAATACGATGATAAGTAAACTGTTTGTTAACAACAATTACAATTTATTTTATTATACAGTAGTCAAGCAAAACTTTGCTGTAGTCAGGTAAGTTGATGGGTGGGCGGCGCACATGACTGACACAAATCGGCACCAGAGCTGGCAGAGCACCCTCCCTACCACATCATACTGGATCCATCTTTAGATCAGTGATCCATCTGTGCTAAATACACAACAGTTTTAACTGTTTTAAAAAACAGTGTTAAGAACACATGCACAAGGTGGACTATAAGATAAAGTAGGGATTTGATAACTGCAGTAAACAAACACAGCAAATCGAGTTTGAAAACATTTATTTATTTGAAAAAGGAATGGTAAAATTATATTTAACAATTATTCGCCGAAGGCGAGGTGATTATCGATGAATATTCCCCGATAATCACAGAGCCTGAGGCGAATAATTGTTTTAGTATTTTTGTATTTTTCTGGTCTGAATTCATTTTAATTTCGCTTATTTATTTATTACTAACTTCAACAAAACGGCTAGCCGCCATTTTGAAAATTTCGATTTTGTTATAATATAACGGATTAATACGTCAAATTTGACCAATCACCTTGTAGGATTTGTTACGATCACTTGTTCAAAAATACTAATATCAAATATTTACCTGAAATAATAACAGTGTTTTAATAGGAATAAATTTATATGAAAATCTCAACTAAAAATGTCTTGCTCATGTTCTACTTTAAATTTCAACTTAATATATTTTGATCATCTATACATGATTATCACAAGTTGGTATCTTTGTTCTCGCCAGGAACCAGCTACAACAAACTTCTCAGGATACAAATTTAGTGTCCTCCACAATCCTTGTCTTAATTCTCAGGATACAATGTGTCTCCTCCACAATCCTTGTCCTTCAGAATCCTTGTCTCCATCCTCCTAATCAGAGCTTGAATCATTCATGTATTTAGCATCATCAGTAGCCTGTTCCACACCCAATAATTGGGTCAACTGCTGAATTTCATCAATCTTGTCCATGTATTTGCACTCCACCTTCTGCACCAATACTTTCAACATCACCAGGCATCTCTTCACCATGAATTTTAACCAAACACATAGGATTTAATGGCTGCTTAATGCAATTGCATAACAATAGCTCATCTAAATTCACCAGTGGTAGGTCATTCAGTATATCCTCTAAAATATCCAGCTTGGGTGGTCAGATTGTTACAGAAGTTGGTGATGGAATAATGTTAAACTCCCACAACAGAACTACAGTTAAACTCTCACAACAGAACTACTGTTCGTACTGTTAAACTCCCACAACAGAACCACTGTTCGTACTACAGGTAAAAAAGATTTGATGCATTTAAATATACAGGGACGTTGGAACAATAAAAAGGCAAGGGCACCTTTATAGACCTACAATTATGTGTTGACTTGCCAATGAAAGCCTGATTGTGCATGTTCCATTGACGATAGCTGTTCTGTGTTCTGGCAATAAAGTCTACTCAAGGAACTACAGGGTGTATCAAAATAAACGCAATTCATCTTTTGTGCTTAATAACTTTCGAAACACTGTCTCTAGTTAAACGCTTTTAGGCTTACTTCAAAGCCTGTTCTTTTCTCTTTCAAACAAACTATTATCCTTGTCTCCAGTGCTAGTAATAATTGCACAGGAAAAGATTTAGTAAAACCTATCATTTTTAGTTGCTGTTTAATTATGCAAGTTTACTATGTTATTGTTTAGTCGGTTTAAATGTTAGAATTTTCTTCTTTAAACTTTAATGTTATCGTCACTACATCTGGAAAACCACGTAAGAACAAATTAAAAGTATTTTAAAAGAGACCAGGTTGTTTGAAAATCCAAAACGAATGCTAAAAATCGTCAAAACATTCTGGTGTCTGAGCCAGAGTGTCATCGGATTGCGATGTAATGTAAACAGAAATTATAGCAAGTTGACGTCAGTCAGCTTAGATGGTCCAAGCCAAAATTATATCGCATTTGAAGTTTCAAACTGAGTTAAAAATAGTGGAAGAAAAGCCGTAATTACACTTATTGTTACAATCCATTTAAGAAAATGTAACATTTTTTTGTTTTAATGAAAAAATCAGTTATTTTCATGAGAACGATTTGTTATTCTATCTCAATTTTTTTAATCTCCAATCGCAATAACGTAAAGTATTATTACCCGCGAACCAATGAGTCAAATTTAAGAAACAACCCACTGATAGAAAGCAGAATGGCTACGCTTTAAAATGAATGTAAACTTTAACGTTTTCGTCTATTATTTGTTTAGCAATTTACATTTCAGTCGAGGATTGGGCTTTTTTTTATACACCCTGTATAACTGCACAAACACACTTAATCAGGTCACATTCAAGTTCACACCTCATGACTTTGCCCAAAACTGGAGATAAGATTTAGCAGGCAGAATTTCTATAACTCAAAGTGCACTTCTGCCCCCTTTGCCCCTCCTCCCTGCTTTTATATTAAAATAGATTTGACTGATTTGACATAAAGTCAAATACTTGTATGATTTCTGAGTATAAATGGCCCATTTTCCCACCAATTAAATCATAAAATAATCGTACCTTAAGGTAACAACTATAGAATAGATTTCTATCAATGAAGGACTTGTCTATCGCATTCGGCGAACATATAATAAGTCAACTTTTACGCCATTATCGTTATCCATAAAACTAGAAGTTCTACATCCTTTTACGAAGCAGCTCGAGTCGCTCTTTCGACACACAATGTAGGCTACATAAAGATTGTCACGTCCATCCAAATCAGTAGCTTTGTTGCCACGAACAGTACGAAAATTCGCCATGATTTACAATTTTCAATTTGTACTTTTGAATACCGCTCCTTGTAAATTGAGTAGTGAACACAACGAGAGCTAGTCGAACAATGACGGCGCGTCCCAGGAAATCGATAATATTAATGAGTTACAATGCATGCCGGGAAGGGCTTCCAACCTCCAGTCTGGATCACGACATTATAACGAACTGAATTAGTGAATTTAATCGTCTGAAGATTGTCACAAATAGTGACATGAAACTTAAAGTAGCAATATAGATTAATACATTTTAAGACTAGAAAATACATGCATGCAGAAACCCTCGCTTTACTGACAAAACATGTTTTCTGATTATGAAGAATTGAAAGTAGTTGTCATGGTAACACGATAATTTTAAGAATAGTTTTTAAATTGAAGAATCCCCCAAAATATCATTTTTAATAACAAAATTATCAATTTTCCAAACATATATATGCTAGGTATGTTATTATATACGTAATATAAGCTTCACTGATTTAATGTAAAATTCAACCACAAACGCTTCGCAAAACGTTTCAAAATCTTCTTAGAACTATTAAAACGGCCTTTTATCGAATTATCGGTAAACAATGAGTTTGAAATAAACTGATTTCAAATTCTCGCATGAAAATAACTTTGCTTTCCTCTTTATTTAAATACTTTAATATACCGAAGAAAGGCAGTAATTAATAAAACTACACTGAAATTATATGCTGTCTTTTTTCACTTATATACGCAATGATAGTATCAGTTCGATATTCGCAGTATCGTCCACCACTATCAGTTATAATTATATCAATTATTAAACCAAAAATACATCAATATTTAAAACAAACTTGCCTTCATTAACGTCGGCGACTTTGCTCTATTCTTTTAGACGTTTTAGACGTTTTTTGGCTCTCAGAAAGGGTTTGAAATTTACAAAATTTTGCAAAAATACAACTTGCAAGAAATGTTTGTTATTTCGCTGTCGTCAATGCAGTCGTTACAATGCAAATTTCAAATTTGACCAATCAGTGTTCACTATTCACGACAGTCCGCTACATATTTTGAGATCAGTGAGGATTACCACCCTTGAACAGTAAGCCATGCGCCCACGATATTTGTTGATCTTTAGACTTCGCTAGTGCGTTCGTTTCCCCTGGTGTAAATAGCCGGGCGGAATTAGTACCCTCGCACGGCGCTTCGCGCCGTCGGCTCGCGGATAACAAATTAATTCGCTCTGCTAAATATTTGTAGTATTGAGCACTCTTTTATCTATAACGAAAAACAAAACTGTTTATATATATATATATATATATATATATATATATATATATATATATATATATATATATATATATATATATATATATATATATATATATATTGAGGGTTGTTAGCTAATTAACTCTTGTCACAATTTGGAACCTGATCTTTTTGGCATGTCGTAATTTATTCTTTTGCATCCTTAGAGATTTAGACGCTTATTACCATGCCTCGATAAATTTCTTTATTTATTCTTTCGTATTCACTTGTGCTTATTTTATAGCTGTAACCTACGTCCAGAATTATTATATTTTGCCAACGGAAATTTTAACGGAATCGATAGTCATTCGATATTTCATCCCCTGAAACTCAGCACGCGCAGCATTCGTGACCTGGCGAAGCAGGTCACTATGTTCATTTCCAAATGTTCATTTCCTACTAACCATTATGATTATGTGCAAAGACATGAATCAATGATTCTTTTATTCATTTGAGCTGTTGGAATAATATTGCAATATACAATACGTTGCGAGGGACATTTGATGTATGCGTTCGCGTATAATTAACCCAAGAAAATTAAGTTCGCCCAAAACATTACATGAGATAATATAGTGCTTATTTTTATTATTTACAAATGTGGGCTAGGAGCCTACTAGAAACCAGTTCGAATAATTTTTTTAAGAAAATATTACACAGTCAAAGGATATATTAATAATATACTAAAAATAGTTAGGATGTATATTTGCAATAAAATTTTGATATTGTATATTATTATAGGAATATGACATGTTGTATATCAATCTAGCTGTGAGAAGTAGTTTTCGATATTTTTTTTGAAGGAATCATAAGATCTTGGTTTTTTATATTGTTCAGAAACATTATTCCATACTTCTATACCATTATTAGCAAGAGTATGTTTTGCATAGTTGGTATACTGGACTTTCTGTGTAGCAATGCAGATTTTATTGTGTTGTGATTGTGAATTTCCTGATTTGTAAAGAAACAATTTGTGAATAATGCTGGTAGATTTTGTATTATGCATGATCTATTAACCAGAACTGACTGTTGCAGTACGTATTTATGTTAGATGTTAGGCCGCCCACACGGACACGACTCCACTTTAGTCGGTTCTTTCTTGACATGCAAGGAACCGAAATAGGTGCACCTGTAAATAGCCATACAGAATAAATCTTATCATTCAAAATTTTAGGGTTTTATACGAACTATCATATAAACTAAATTTGTTGTTATGTTTGAATTATAATGTCGTTTATCTGGGACAAAATTTCAGTTTCATTTTATTGCAAATAGTACTTTTATTTATGAATAATATATAAAATCTATACTTAGTGTGGGTGTGGCATTTTTGACCACGCCCTTTGTCGGGCAAAATGAGTCCACAGCCTCCCCCCCCCCCTCCCCAATCTTGAGACCCAAGTTACGCCGCTGCCACTACATTGTCACACTATAAACGAACGCAACTCGTTTTCTATAATTTCTTAAATCGATCAATAAATCTATAAACAGTATCTGGTAGGCTATAAGGCTAATGTTGCATGGTTAATCTTAATATTACTACTTCTTTAAATGAGGAATTACAATTCCAACAAGCAAGCCTGCCAAAAACCCAACGAATATCAGAAGGTTATTGAATTCTGTTCCATCAGTTTTGCAATGACTATTCTTTTGTTGTTTTGTTGTCTTCTTTTGTTCAGGATTTGTTGTTGTGTTTGGTTCTAGTTCGCTATGTGCTGGTTTTGAGGTAGCTAAAGAAAAGACATGAGATAGATTTATAGACGATTTTGGTATCACACACATTTACAAAATTAACATCACAAATGGCAGACATTTCTAACAACTATCGTAAGCCATTTGTCATGTTAGTTATTTAGTATATTATTAAACTGTCATTCAAATTTTGTAGCAAAAACTTGAATATGACTGTATCAATCTCGGGAAATTACACTTATTTATCATCTTCAATAAAATTTTAATAAAGAAGTACCAATTAGGGGGGGGGGGGGGGGCTCGAATAAAGTTTGTTATGCCAACATATCGACGAAGCGGCAAAAAAGCTACGAAAATGAAACTTGGTTGTGTTAATTAGGTAGATATCTTATTTATGTCAATTTTGAGAAAGGTATAGGCAGTTCGATTGAACATATACATGTATATATTATTATACATACTTGACTGAAAACATAATAACATTTTTATACAATTTGTGTGCTGACATGTTCAAGATTTGCTAGCTACAAAACAGTAGTTCATCTTTAAATTCAATTTTCTCAAAACAAAAGAGATTTTAATGAAACACAAAACAATAGACACTCCGAAAATTGTAAACATGTTTATTCTTATTACAATTTTCGGAGTGTCTATTGTTTTGTGTTTTATTAAAATGGCAACCACAAAAGAGATTTGGTCGATCAACTTTGTGGAAAGTCTATAAAATGAAGAAGATTTGAAATTTTGCCCTCATCTTTGTACTGAGGATATGTATCTTTATATGGTACTTGATACTGTAGGTTAAGTAGACAGTATATATTATAATTTGCGGTTTCGCATTAGTTAACATAGAAACAATGGGTTTTTAGTGTTTGGTGACCTTAAATATTTGGTCAAATAAAATTCTGTCTATTTTACCAGTCTTTATTCTGTCTATAGATTAAGATTTAAGAATCAGCCAAACAAAATTTAATGTCTCTATAAATTCGAGTTAATATCTCTTTTTCGTCTGGAGATATTGTTTCCGCAAATACCTGTTTATACATGTATGTTGCTGTTTTGGGTTGTTACCATGGCAACGATTTAGTGCAGTTCACTGTAAATAGTCTTAATATTTTTTTTTATACTTAGGGGCTGATTACATGGAGAATTTTTTTGGTTTTATTTCTGTCTGTTCTATTTTTAAATGCAACCACAGTCTCGCAAAAGTCACTGAAATAATAGACATGAATTACATTTTAAATTCTTCGAAGAAACGGAATAGCTCCATCTTGAGATTTGATCGTTTCAGCCCGGGCTGAGATTTTACGCCGGTTTGAACTGAAATTCTAACTCACCCTGGGTTGAATTTTGCTATGTAAACGTGAAAATATTTCAGCTAGGTTAACCGAGTTGAAATTCAGCCCGGGTTGAAAACTGCCCATTACAACCCCTTATTAGGTACTGCTTTGTACCTTTTTTGTGATAATTGAATAAATTGTTATGAAACTAGAGCAAATTAAAATACGGTTTTTGGAAATTTAGGATAGACAACCACCAATAATTGTTGTATTTTCTGAAAACCGAAAATCAGATGCAATAACTGCAAGCCGGAAAGCATCGCCCACATCAGGTCAGTGGTATGTTCCTGCTTGCTCCAAGCAATAACTGCTGCTGTCGCCGATATAATGCCATATAGTAATTGCTCCACACTACTCCTCCGCAATAATCACAATAACCGCAATACTTGTTTTAATGACGAGATAGCCGCATGCAATACCCGATCTGATTTGGCCTACAGGGTATATTTTTTAAGAAATTACAACTACTGGGGCTCAATGAAGGCCTCAGTTTCCCCACACAGTTACGCGTACATAAAGACATGCATGCTGTGCTGACTTGTATAAGATGGAATATCGAGAATGTGAGAGGACATGCATGAGAATTAAAGCAGGCACATGCAGCTTTTTCAACAATGATGACTTTTTACTAATTATCGAAAGGGCCCAGTGCATCTGAAAATATTGCTTCACTATTGGGGCAAACAAAGGGCCTACTAGGGTAAATGCCCCAGTAGTTATATAGTTGAAAAATGCCGCCTTATCTGAAAGAATAAGCCAACGAAACTTTATGACTGACTGCTATATTGATCGATCAAAAGGTCGACGAGCGGTAACCGATCTTCCTGTTTCCCATAATTTCGAGTAATATTCTGCCCTATATGTCACAAATTAGTATATAAGTCATAAGCGGTGGCCGGCCATTTTGTCGTTAACTCATTCTGCCTGTTGCAAACCCTTATGGCCACCGCTTATGCATATGATTATGCTTATATACTAATTTGTGACATATAGGACAGAATATTACTCGAAATTATGGGAAACTGGGAGATGACTGTTCGTCGACAATCCACGACATTCATTCAACGTCGTGGATTGTGTCTGAACTACCTAATCTACCTGGAATACTTGACTTTCGAGCGAAGCTCATTCGTAAAACGTTAGTCAGCTAACAACTTCCTTGACGGGGTCTTGCTCGACAGGTCTAGTTCAAGCACAAGCACAAGCAGGTAAAGGTACTTACAGATACGTGCTAAACAATTTTTCAAACATGAGCTTATGTCATCCCGATGGACATCTGATTCAGTACATCCTAACAAAGGTTCTTTGGGACAATGCACACAGTCCTTCAAAACTTTCGAGGAGTACGTTCCGCTTTCACAACAAGTAATAAATTTCGTCATAAACAAAATAGCGCCCGTTAAACGCACCAACCAAAATGCATCACGACTGCCAAAGCGCATCGCAAACTTTTGCAAATCACTGTAGAATCCTTCGTGATGCCAAAACTAGTGAATAGTCTTTCGAGATTTGATATTGTGTCGAAACTGACAGTTTTCTGTTATATGACGGTATTGTGTTTTGTTTTTGTCGCATGAGTTTATGCATTAATTTGTTCACCGTCACGGTTGTTGAGCTCATTGTATGTTCGTATTAGTAATCGTCCAATAGGGATAGTTGAGATGAAAGGTGAAACCATGGTGAATATTTAGACAAAGGATTTGCGCACAGTGAGGTACCGAGTTCAGTGAGTTCAACATAATCGAAAATCTCTGGTTTGTGGCTTTGAAATCTGGCTGACTTTCACACTATGGTATCTTGACAGACCATATGACTAGTCTGAATCCAAACTAATAAAGTCTCGGCAGAAAATATCAAGATTTGTAGGTCTGGTACTCTGGTTAAAACGATGCTTTCTGGATCTATATGAACAAATATAGCTGATATATGTAAATTCATGATCATGATTTGGGGGTATTTCCCTAAAACGTTGAAACTCCCTTCTGCATGGTTTTGCTTCTAACAGGAAATTCTTGTGTAATAATTCCCATTAATTAAAAACGACGTCTGATTTCATTTTAATTAATGAATTGATACTCACGTCTTTGTGAACTGCATCTCACCATGCGTAAATATAATTATTCATGTTGGTTGTACCAACGTTTCATCTCAGCTATCTCCGTATTGCTATAACCTGCATGCATTGCACATGCATATGGCGCCATGAATCGCTTCATTTTTTCAAAAACCCGCAGCCAAAAGAGCAGCCGCGTACCCTGATAGACGTTTCAAATTAGTAGATAAGGTTGCATGATCGAGCATTACGTGAAGCACGGGTAAAATTGACATTTATAATTAACAAATATAAAACATTTTCCGTGTTGATATACAGTTATATCAACACGAGTGGAATTGGGAAAACGAGAAATTGTATGGAAACACGACGCCCGAAGGGCGGAGTGTTTTCATACAATTTCAAGTTTTTCCAACTTCCACTAGTGTTGATATAACTATATATCAATACGGAAAAAAGTTTTATATTTTTTTTATAATATAGCGATGTCAAAAGCCCGAAGGATAAGAAAAAATTCCGTGTTTAGAAGCGGCGGAAAATTTCCCGTGTTGACATTGAGTTATATCAACACGGCTCTTAGCCAATCAGCGTTCATAATTTACAAATGCTATATTATAACACAACATTTTACACACCTTTCACACCTTGTTGGACGCCATGTGATCGCCTTGCACATTTAATATATCAAAAGAACCTGCCTGCAAAACGCTTGTCGTGTAAACTGGCATTGTAATATATCAATAAAATACTTGAAGCCATCGAAAAATATTTTATGATATTTATTGCAAAAAGCTTCCAAGTGTGTTAATAAAGAAAACAATAGTACCATTTTACAATATTCGTGAACTTCTTTACTATGCTGAAGTGTGTTATTATTTTGTGCGGAGTATTAATCGTCATTTTCACCGACATCCTATGGGTTTTTCACTAAAAATTTCCGAGATACGTACGATTTTATGCGTTTATATGTAACTATAAAGTAGGTTTGCCTCTTATCCTGCAGGGTTTTCACTTATTTCAAAACAATGGCTGACCGGCTTTCTCTGCCGCTTTGGTGAAACCATGGCACCTGGATACCTTGGTACTAAATACTGATCGTGTCTTTATTAAACTTTCGTACATTCATGGTATAAACAAAATACAACAATTGAAAGTTGCAAACCTAACCATGCATGCAACTACGAAATTACGATATATTATCAAAATATCATATAAATTAAAATAATTACGGAATATTACAAAAAGAGAGCAGGAAAGCTCCTAACGTACCAACTATACAGAGTTTGTGATTACAACGTAATCATGTTAACAATGTTAGTATTAAAATTATGAAATATATGATGCATTAACCCTATCCAGACTGGGCTTTTTTGTCTTTTGAAACTGGGGGGTGGGCGGAATGTGCCCGCGGCTAATATATAAAAAGGCTAAATAGTCATTACAATGAAACTTTCATAGAATGATGCTTGTGCAAGTACAAGCTGAAATGTAACCTGAAGTTCAGCCCCTATCACAGAATAGGGCCTGACAGAAAACCTATCTAAAGTGTGGGATTCCCGTCCACCTGGTGGACGGGAAATCTGATTGGTTGATCAGCATCATGAAGGATTTTGATTGGTTGCAAGTTCATATAAACAACAGTTTTAAAAATAGCTCGGTCAAGGCGAGAATTAATATAAAGGTCAAACGCACGTAACAAATTCCATTATCGATTTCTTCGAATTTCTTTTCTTTTATGCTTTATGGAAGAAAATAAATCAAACAAACAGTATTTTGAAAGGGCTTCATCAAAATCTTTGACGAATTTTGGACACACACGACGCTGAAAGAACAGCCAAACTAGTCCTGTATTCGAAAGCTTGTTGTTGACAGCCAAGATGTTCTGCCTACTTGCTTCGCCGGCAAAAGTCTTATTTTTAATATCAGGTCCTACCGGCGTTGTTTTCTGAGCTACATCGCCTTCTTCGTGGTATGATTGAGAATTTAATTGTTGCTGTTATTAGCCCGTTAGTCGTTAGAGTATATCCGCGTCCAGCAAATTGAGACCTTGAGAAAGCTTGGCAGTCAAGCCGTGCACAGAACTGACTAATTAAATATTTGTTTGCTGTTCGCCTGTTCGGTTAAATAGAGAAACTGACTCTTAATTATATAAAAGTACCTTGAATTTTTAAGTTTAATTAAAAAGCAATATGCTCTGCGGACATGTTCATGAGAATATAATTTTTTTGTGTGACGAAATCTACAACACTTGTCAATCATATTGCATGTGTGTCTAAAAATAACATGTGGGCGTCCCACGGTCTAGACAGGTTTTGTGTCAGGCCCTATTTCAAATTAAGGCCTGAACTTCAGGTTAGCTGAAATGCAACTTCTGGTACCATGGCAACACGTGGTGACGTCATTATGACTTGATCATAAGCCAAATCTCGCCGAGTTTATATTAATATCAAAAAATATTTCTAATGGCTAAAATCTTAGTTTTTTAATCTATATATTTCGATATTGAAGTGTTATGTGCATGTTCTTCACTTCTAAAACTAAACGTTAAAACATAAAAAACGGCACATCATCATGAACTTGAGTTACCATGGCAACATGACTTATGTAAGTGACCCATCACTATACCCATTGCATTCCCGGACAAATTTTAGTAAAAGTAGTCGTACATTAAGTAATTACTTATTAATAATAATATACATAAAAAATATGCAGAAGAACTCAAATGCATGGTCACTTGCACGCTTGAAATACTGACAGGCGAAATGATGACGGCACAATAGTTTAATACAAGTTTTAAACTGTCAGAAATCAAAACGTAAAAATCAAAATATCTTCTGTTTTAATTTAGCACTTACCATGTGTTTCTTTTGGCTTCTCACTCTATCGTTTTTGTATACTGCGAAATAAATCATTTTCTCACTGATTTGCCATGGCAAGTCAAAACGTATAGGGATATGGCATAAAGTATGTGTACTGGGAGGGTGGAGGGTATTCCAAAATACGATCATAAAATTTGGCACCCCTCGAAAAGCGTCGGAGGGCCCTCCACCTCAAAGGAGATGAAATGTTTCGTACCTCTAAAAGTAAACGAGAAAGGGAGCCACCCGACGGTAAAATAACGTAATCAAAGACTGTTCAGGTTGCATAGATGTCAAACTAATAGGTTCCGATCGAGACACTTTCATAAATACTACTGTGCTACATTGCAATTTATTAGGAACATTTAGGAACATACACTCGATTTCTTTAAAGTATATTGTATCATAAAAATCTGTAGTTATATTAATCATAGACTTAGTATTCGACTCTTTTATTGTTTTGTACCTCCCCCCCCCCAAAAAAGTCGTAATTCGTCTCATACCCCCTCAAGGTTAGATAATTTGTTTCGTACCCCTCCCCCCCCCAACCTACCCTCCACCTCCCCCAGTACACATACTTTATGACCGGTCCCTAAGTTTGTCTCATTTGAAAGAACATTTAAAATGATATATAAACTTCTTGTACAACAATTCCGTATATCTTGCTTGGTTTTCGAAGCAGCATGAATAAAAGCAGCGTGCATTCCGCTATCTTCGATATGCATTCGATATGCATACGTCACAAGTAGTGTAAAAAGTGAACTGATTTTATCTTGCAAACCACATGTCATTATCATTATGAATCTCGATTTTCTGAAGTCTTTTTAGTACTCAATTAACCAGGGCCTTTTCTGAAGATTTACCCGTGGGGGGGGGGGCATTTTTTGAAAAGGGACCTTACTGTGAGATAATATATTAGAGGGGGCAGCCATGACCTTACATGCGCGGCCAATATACTGGGCCAGAATTACTCCAGTTACTAGTTGTATATTTGAAATAAAAGAAGGAAAAACGTACAAAAACAAAAAATTATTAACAATAATTTATCATTACTTAGTGTTAGATAAACGTAACAATTCAAGTCGATTTTGTAAAGGTGGTTATTGAAAGTGGGCACATTTCAGACAAAAAATTTTGTACATTTATATTTTTATAGAAGAATGAAACCAGATGTTTTGTATAGAACAGTATTTTGAGAATTAGAAACTCTAACGGAAAGTTCGTAACCGTGGTCACTATGGCAACAATGACGTTTCAAAATGGCTGCTAATCTGCATTTGAACTAGTTTAATTCGAAAACAACGTCAGTGATCCCCAATTTTTATTCTATTAATAGTTTTATTCTAGTATTCTACATTAGGACAATTTTTAAAAAATTCTGTAGATCCAAAATTTTCAAATCGAAAAAACGTGTTTATTCCTGACAAAAATTTTTGGATCTACAAAATTTTTTAAAAATTGGCGTAATGATTACTCATGCTAACAGATAACTTTTAATAAAATAAAAATTGTAGGTCACCGACATTGTTTTCAAATTAAATTAATCAGTTTAACGTAATTTGAAATTAGCGGGCATTCTGAAACGTCTCCCAGCTTGTATGTTATAAATTAATATAAAAGGCCCTGCAATTAACTCACAACAGTTTAAGAAACATTTCGAAGGAATGTAGTCCCACGTGAAGAAGTTTTAACAAGTTTACTCTGCTTGTTATGTCATCAAAAACTCAGTTAATTTGGTAAATTATAATACCAAGATAGCGGACTGCACACTGTTTTTGGTCAAAATATTTCGAAAACCAAGCAAGGTACGAAAAAGTTGTAATGGGTCTTCATAAATATAAAACTTTAAAAGTTCTTTCAAATAAGAAAGTTAATTTCTATTGGCAATATCCCTTTAAATGAAATGTATTTTGTCTTGGTGCTTTCGGATTCCGCGTGTTTCTTTTTGAGCACTGTATTTCTTTTATTGGCACTCCGCCGATTATTTTTTTCATGTATAATATTTTATTTAGTTAATAAAACGAAATTAAGTATACTAACAATGTTACTCATCGTCAGTGCTGTTTGTTGGCAATGTTTCTTCTATTGGGTTTGTAAACACAAATTGATGCACTATACTGAATGATCGTTTCGCCATTTCCTCCACTGGACTTCTAATTCGGCGGATGAAAAAAGGAATGAGAATTCCAATTATCAGGCCTACCAGAAACACTACGAAGGCAAGAACGTGATTCAATTTTCTTTCACTGGTTTTGCATTGACGATCTCGTAGTTCTTGTGTTGTCTGGCTTTGTTCGGGATTTGTCGGTTTGTTTGAGGTACCTGAAGAATACATATAATAGATATACTTTCAGTACGTCACATTTTATAACGTCATAATATGCATCACATGCATGCAGACATCTCTGTTGGCTTTCAGTATCATTTATTACGCTAGTTATCTTAATATTCTTAGTATATTTCAAAGAGCCATAAAAAAGATGCAATAATAAAAAAGCTGCATGGCCATGACTGAATCAACATCGAAAAATCGACTTGAAAATCGAAAGCGTCTATGCATGTATCATCTTCAAAAAATTTGTGATGTTAAAAATCCGGAATCGGCATGCATGCATGTATTATATACAGGGTCATGTGTTGTGCGTTAGATATGAACGACATTGGCGCATTTCTGAGCACGCCCGTAAGAAGCGTTTTATACATACATGCAGTCATTAATGCTGGTTCAGCAAAATAAATTGAAAAGTGAGTCCCCAACCTCGTTCCCAGGGCTTTCTAGTTGTGCCCCGAGGAACGGAGAGGAGAGAAGAAAGCCCCGATCCGGGCAGGGCACTTCTGAAGAATAGTGATTGGACGATTGCTTCTGGAATATGATTGCATGGTTACGCTAAATTATGCAATTATTTATCAAATAATTTATCATAATAATGTAAAAGCGTTGTACCAAACCAGGAGCGTAGTTCACAACTATAAATTGAATTTCGATATGGCAGCAAAAGTTACGCCAACAAAATCTTATCCACGTGAATTTGGGGATGCGTGCATGTCGTCTTTGCAGTAGCGATACCGGATAATATATTGAGATATACTGCAAATAAATAAAGTTTCTACGCGTAAGTTTCTTTCAGTTCGATCATATCTACCAAATAATAAGTCCAAAAATCCGTGTATGGTCAGCTCATACAGGTTACGTATAGTAAGCTCCTCATATAATAAGCTCCTCAAAGATTGATTTCTAATTTATTTTCTTTTGCGCATAAATTATAACTAAACACATGCATAACGCATAAAATTGCATAACGCATAAAATTGGATCACCTCCAGGCTGCTCCATTTACTGTTCTAGAACATTTGGAATACTGTTCTGGAACATTTGGAACACTGTTCTGGAACGATATGAAATGGAGTGCACACGGTGTTCTGGAACAGTGTTTAGTTTATTATATGCGTGCAACCATGCATTACTATATTCATTAGTTATTCACATAATAAATCGTATAATGATTTGATGTTATTTATATATCTAAGTATGCTTTTGCAACGTTTTTACTCATATTTTGCCCAACCCTGGCGTTCAAATAGCATATAATAAGTATATATCGAAATATAGCGGTTAACCCTTCAAAATAACACTCTATGCAGTGTGCATTGGATACACAAAATCTGTCGCCTCCATTTCAAATCAAGTGAAAATGGGCAGTGTCACGTGTCTGTTCTGGCTACTCGAATATCGGGGTAGTCAGAACAGTTCAAAACAGTCACGTGACTGTCTTCTGTTCCATTCCATTAGTGTTCCGAAAATCCGGAGTACTCCGAACATTAAAAGGAGCAGCTTCCAGATCTTTCTTAGTTAATTATATGTTAGATGAATTTCAAGTTTGCTGCATTGTTTGCATTTCATCCGACTTAATTTGCAAAATCCTCTTTGCTTTTTCATTTCCTTCAGATTGGTCACACATTACCAATTAACATAACGAAGGTATTTCAGTTAATGATCATGTTTCGGTAAGTTTTAGAATTCATACTCGCGATTTTATGTCAACCAAATTTAGTGGTTAAAACATTTCACAAAATTGAAATTGAAATATATAGATCTTCCGAAAAAGTCTTTTATTTTTAGAAAATCCACAAAATATTATTAAATGATTTGTTCAATGAAAAGGACAATAAAATAGTAGATAAAAACTAACAAAATGATGACTAGATTATGAAGAAGAAATAAAATAAAATATACAGTATTAAAACTTAATTCTGATGTAATGATTGTATTCTACCTTGCTTAATCTACATTAAAACCTCTATATTATTCGTATTGCATGAAATATACAATCTTATATAGTCAGTTGCGTACAGCATATGCGCATATAGCATGTATATTATTTCCCCAAAGGTTGGAAGAAATTACCGAATTTAACACTGTATTAAGAAGCTAAATCACGAATACTCAAAATTCATAAAAAAATCTAACTCAGACAAAACTTTAACACTCTAACATTTTCATCAAATTGTTTACTCAATTTAATTATTAGCAAACAAACGCATTCAACAAAGACAACAGCTCCAAAAGAAATACCACGATCGTGGCGCAAAAGAGCTCAGCCCGTTGCGGAAAGGAGAAGTGTTGAGACTACGGCCAACCCGAATCGGCGAAAAGAAATGGAAGAGAGGGATAGTCGTACGCAAAGCCGGGATAAGATCATATGAAGTCCAATGCAAAGGGTATACCTATACTAGAAACAGAAAATTCATCCGACGATCAAGGTTACCTGCAGAATTCGGTAGTGAAAACGCAGATGAAGAGATGTCAGACATGTCCGAAGCGGAAGAGAACGTTTCTGTACCTACTGACAATGATCTGCCCCAAGAAAACCCTCAACCAGCACACTTAGAACGCAATGAAACAAGTACCGAAACAAGTTCTACAAGCAAAACACGTAGTGGACGGTTAGTTAAAAAACCTGACAGGCTAGGTATAGACACATAAGGGAACGCGGTATATATACGGTATATTTATAAAGAAAAAACTTTCAGAGAAGAGGAGATGTTGGACATTTACTGTTGACATTAATATTTTAGTTATATTTGCTCGGACAGGGAAAACTGGGAACGAACGTAAAGGGCGCGAAATAGTTGTAGAACACGGGATTTTAGAGATAGAGTATATATACATGTTATGAGTTTATATTATGCGAATTATACTATAAGAAATAAAACTATCAAAAGTTAATGAAAGTGAGAAGCAAATAACAGTATCATTGTCTATAATCTATTGCAAGAAAACAGAAAAAGTATGATCAAATTACAGACATCAGTAAAACAAGATGACACTACTCGTACCCGTACACCGAAACCGGGGTATCTTCTTAACCTCTCTATAATTACTGAAAATTCCACTGATGTCATATATACCATCCAACAAGAGAGACAGAATATCTACATCTTTCTTTGGGTCTAAAGAGACTATATGTCTGAAAGAAACTGTGTAGCATATCGTGATTTTCCATATTCTTAATCAAATAAATTTTCGTTATTAAAAATTTCCAACAACGCCATATTAAATTTCCCACTGCACACAATTGGCATGCATTGTGTCACTGAAATTGACTGTCAGTGACTGCCAGTGACTGCTTTCTACAAAATAGAATCTTACAGCTTTTGTACATTGTAGTTTGTAAAGAGTATACTAAACCTTTCCTTCCGCCTATTCTTTACTCCACGTCTCAAAAAATTCATGCATGTAGCCGGCTACACCAGCGCACTACAGGATTTTAAAAAAGGATGTGAAACGTCAGCATGTGAAACTGCGTGATGAATAAGGTAGATTGTTTGGGATTATTATGTACAGACATCAGGCAGTAAATATGGGGATAGCGTAGCCAAGTTTAGACATAATTAAAAATAAGCACTACTGTATAATGACAATGTTCTACAAAAAAACTGGACGTTTCGAGCGATGCCTATTCGCCAGGCGTAAATCGCCGGTAAATGACCTGCTTTCAAAGAATTTTACCGTACTTACCATGACGCACTAAACAGTTTTTCAGGCACAAGCTTACGTCATCCAGCTGATCGACATCTGTACAATTTATATAATATGCTCCACTTTCGCAGGAGCTAGTCACTTTTGTAACTGACCATAAAGTCGCGGCGATTAAACATGCCACCCAAGAACCAATACGGCCAAAGCGCATCACACAAACCCTTCTAAACAATTTTAATCACTGCTATACTATAGAACAGTATACTTTGTGACGTCTAAATGAACATATGATCGAATACGAATTTAAAGTGGAATTTATATACATCGCATACGTATATTATATATTAATTTATTCTTCAGGTTTTTTATATAATTGGGCACGCAACTGTTACAAATAAACCTGCTTACACATCCATATTTTTCATCCTGAAATTTTGTTGGTCAACCTTTTAGGTATAGGTAATTATCTCTATGAATTGAATCTGAAGTATGAAAACGAAGTAATAAAGTCCCAGACTGAAATATCGATAGGCAGGTCAGTTTTAACGGCACTTTCTCGATATGTATTTTATAATTATTATAATACATAAAACTCGTGACAGTTGGCCGGGTATTTCCCAGCCGAAGAACTTCTAGAGGGAATTCCCCTCTGGATTTCAGTTATAACTAAAGGCTCCCTACCATGCATTTTAAGCATTTTTCGCTGATACCACAGGGGGCTCAACTACTGTCGCTAGCAAGTGTAAAATAATCAAAATAATAAACTTACTTTAAAAAGATTTGCATAAATTCTTCGCAAGAATATCGATAAATACATTATGAATGGAGAAAGAGCAAAAATATGATCTATATGAAGTACTGTAGAATCCTCAACCGGTAGGTAATGCGGGCGCGTATGAGGTAATAGCATAATTAGTAATAGATAAATTAATAGAAGGGTGAAACACCGGTCACGTGATCGAAGAGCAATTTTTGATTATTCACATTTTAAAAAATATTGAAACTATAGTCTATACCGGCGCCAACAAATCACGGCTATTTTTAAAATCTGAATGCACTACTTCATCCATTATTAATTATGCTATTACCTCATACGCGCCCGCATTACTTACCTGGCTGTTGAGGATTATATAGTACTTCATATAGGTTATTTTTTTTTGCTCTTTCTCCATTCATATCACTGACTATATCGGTGATTCATGTCGACATTTTTGCGAAGAATTTATGCAAATCTTTTAAAGTACGTTTATTATTTTCATTATTTTACACTTGTTACTGACAGTAGTTGAGTCCCCTGTGCTGATACGTGTATTTGTTGAGATAGTCAGTATATTGATATAACCGCAAAAGCGTCTAATAGTTCTTGGGAAATTAACACCTGATACAATTGTCAATTCAGTGGTTTACCGCCCATCACCTCACTTTATTTTAATTCAGCCAACCAAAATGCGCTGGAAGTAAAAATAATCGCGTACATTTCGTAAGGAAATTAAAGCCATGGGAAAAATTTCCGGCTAATAAATACAAACGTTGTGATTGAAATTATGCTCGTGGATAAACAAATGGTAGAAAGTTCATAACATTAATGTTGTATATAATAACATATTAATAGTATATAATAATCTAACACTAACACTAACAGGAAATTCCTCATGACTTCGTTTCTAATAATTGTGCAATCTAACAAACAGAAAGCCGTTGTCTGTTCAGTAATAACGTGGTAAGAAGTTCACAAAAAAGTGGACCAAAAGTCGCTAGGACGAGTGGGTCAATGACATTCTTACCACATTATGATGTCATACTGTGCGTCAATATAACTGACCAGGCAACGGCAAAATGTTTTCTATTTGTTTTATATAATAAAGAAGAAAAACTGATTCCCGAACACTTTGAAAATTGAAGTGATCTGTACAAATAAGGAAATGCTAATGGTAACTGAAGTCACGTGATCAATTGAATTTTGCCTGCACAAAAGTATATATGTTTGTGTGAACGCATTTCTGTGCACACTGACCTCGGGGTGGGCGTTTGAGCACTAAGATAAGATAAGATAAGATAAGATAAGATAAGATAAGATAAGATAAGATAAGATGAGATGAGATAAGATAAGATGAGATGAGATGAGATGAGATGAGATGAGATGAGATAAGATAAGATAAGATAAGATAAGATGAGATGAGATGAGATAAGATGAGATAAGATTTACATTTTACTATTACACTCTGCGCATGTCTGGATGCGGGTTGTTATATATTTCGATCACTAAGCAGATCAATGGTAACCATTGTTACATATTTCGTCCATTCGTAGCCTGTAACTGGTGGTCCATCTGCATGTGCCCACTCGTGGTCCACTCAGTCGCATGTACTTTTAGAACAGATCGGTTGGACGCCAATGCATGGACGAACTGAAAATCGTGATGAAATGGACTGGAAATATTTTCAACCCGGGTTAAAAATGTCTCGCACGTATCAAACAATACATTTTAAATACAGTTGGTAAAATTTTATTTAACTATGTTACGCTAAATTATTGCTGATTGTATATATAAGCACGACAACCAAACGTCTCGTTACAATGTCAATGTTAGTCATTATCAGTTATGTTTACTGGCGATGTTTCTTCTTTTGATTTTGGATATGTAGATACAAAAAGATACATCCTATTGACAGACTTTCTCGCCATTTCTCGCATTGGACTTTTAATTTGGCAGATAAAAATACAAATCATAATTCCAACTAACAATCCTACCACAAACCCAACAGCTACCAGAAGGTTATTGGTTTTGTATTGAACATCTTTTCGTTCTTGTGTTGTGAGTCTCTGTTCAGGCTTTGCCGTTGTATTTTTTGGCAATTCATAGTCATGATTCGGTTTTGTTGTAGCTAAAGAAAAGATATAATAGGTATATAGATGCCCTCAATAAGTCACATTTTAATCTATAATTACGTCATAATATACAATGCCTGCATGTACCACAAGTTAATTATATACAGATGTGAAACAAAAGAAAAATTGTGCCTCACTACCGCGGGAAAAGTCCGCCCATGCATCAACCTTGACTGCATGAACTTTGCTTGCAAACGTGGTGTTAAGGTAATATTCTTTGGGCTGATCAATATTGCTCATACATTTATTATATTCAGAGTATGAATGCGAGTGTTAAGAAACAGTGTACTGAACAAAATTCATTGGATTCTTGAACTTTTTAAATGACTAAAGTTGTTTTCCGGACATGCTTAACTCGGTTGAAAAATACCTTAGTCTTTTGTCTGCATGCAACTATCAAGTAATAAAAGCGGCAGCTATTGTACAGGTTGTTGATCAACGTCAACGTACCAGTGACATTTGGGGTTAAACAGAGCAAATAATTATGTTGCAATTGAGTTAATCAAACTTCCATATCTGTTTATTTCATGGCTCTGAAAACAAGCAGAGATGGAGACTGAATCTATACAGAAATCTAATATAGTATGTATAGTATTTCGTGATTTTCCATGTATTCAATTTCGTTATTGTGTTCATGTTTAAAAAACACTGCCACGCATAAATTAAGCGGCAATTTCCCACGTTACCATGCGTAAACTAAGCGGGAATTTCCTATATTACAATTTGCACGATTCTTGTATGTCACCCAAAAATCGTGATCAGACTGACTTTTATAAAATAGAATGTTACAGCAAACGTTCATGAAATTCGGTGGCTATTACTGCGCCAAAAATCAAGGTCTTAGCCATTTATATGATAATGTGAAACGTGGCAGAAATTAATGCTGAGTAAGCCATTAATTTAATAATTTCATCAATTTGTATGTTGCAAGTAGAAGAGGATATTAAACTTTGGGTAACTATAGTGAAAATAATATTTAAAACACGGGGATGATTCTATTAGTAATGTTCGACAATATAAGCTATCCTGGATGGCTTAATCCTAACGGATGGCTTTCACTTGAAAGGCATAGTTCAGCTTTCACTTGAAAGGCATAGTTCAAGCACACACCGATCAAGGTACCTTACCTAACTTTGGACGTGCTAAACAATTTTCCAAACAAGGGACTACATCCTCTTCATGGACACCAGTACAATCAAGCAAAGGTTTTTCGGGGCATACAACACAGTCTCCCAAATCTTTCGAACAGTACGTTCCATCTTCACAACAGCAAATCAATCTTGCTAAAAGTAAAATGGCATATAAACCCACCAAGGCCCAGGATACACCACGACTGCCACTAACGCCCATCGTATACTTCAGAACAATTTCAATACTTCGCGACGGAAAGTCAATTGACTATGATTGAATATGTTGTTAAAGGGATGGAATATATGGTATAGAAATTGGTTAATTTAAATAATAATTGCATATTAATATATTCTTATTCTTCATAATGACAACAGTTACAAAAAAACCCTACACGGCTTAAGCATACACTGATACAGCGAGACTGTTTCAGTCTTTTGGGCTAAAATATGAGTATATGAATTTGAAGTATATATAAATCCGAAGTAATAAAGTGAACGACACTTGGGATTCCCCTTTTGACTCTGGTTCAAAAAGTGCTTCCCCTCTGAATGGGAATCCCCTCTGGTTCAAAAAGTGCTTTATATATCCCATAATATTTGTTGCAGTTTTGAATTGGAGATAAAAATAGGAGAGACACAATTGTCTTTAATTTATGCATTCATGCGAAACCCTCGCAAGAGCGGACGCGCTTACAAATACATAAACAACAAATTTCTGCATGAGCAGCAAATGCAAGCACTAACGTTGAATAGTCCAGGAGGAGATGGGGAGTATCGTAACCCGAGCAGGGAATTTATGAGAATATGTGACTTTAGTCAATTTTGGGGCGCTGATTTCAAAAATCGATGTTATACGGGCCAATACCGGGGCCTTCAGCCTCGGTTTGATGCATACAGCCTCGTTTTGGGGCATATATAGGGAAGACGTTAGTTGTCTTAGTTAGCTAGGGAACCCACTGGTTTTGGTCAATACACGGGCAAACACCGAGGCCTTTAGCCTCTTTTTGGTGCATGCAGCCTCGTTTTGGTGCAAATAGATGGAAATCATTAGTTAGCTTAGATAGGCAAAGTCGTTGGTGATCTTGGTCAATTTCGGTGCGCTGATTTCAAAAAACGATGTTACACAGGCGAATACCAAGGCCTTCAGCCTCGTTTTGGTGCATACAGCCTCGTTTTGGTGCAAATAGATGGAAATCATTAGTTAGCTTAAATAGGCAAAGTCGTTGGTGATCTTGGTCAATTTCGGTGCGCTGATTTCAAAAAACGATGTTACACAGCAAAATACCGAGGCCTTCAGACTCGTTTTGGTGTGTACAGCCTCGTTTTGGTGTCTATATATGTGCCTTAGATAGCCAAGCCGAGTTGGTGATTTTGCTCAATTTCGGTGCAATAATTTCAAAAATCGATGTTATATGCGCAGATATATTGGGACCTCTAGCCTCCTTTTGACACACATTTCCCTGATTTAGTGAAACTATTGGGAAGATCCTACTTAAACAAGCAAGAAAGCTAGTGATTTCTGCTCTTTTTGATAAAAAGCAATACTGTTGCCCCATTAAATTCAGGTCATGTTATGCAACGCATTAAAAAACATGTACTGTACATTCTGATGACAAACTTTGCATTTTCCTTTTCAAACTTCACTCGTGTCTTCAATTTCCTCATCCAAATCATCCTCGTAGTCATCATCGGAGGACGAACTGTTCTCACTCTCCGTGCCTGCGAGTAGCGCATCAATCTCCTCGGGATAGGAAATTTCACTCCCGACGATGTTTCCATCTCCGGCCGATCCATGCTGGTCGGGGCTCTCAAGTTCTACTAGCAGCTGATCGGCGTGTCAAAAGATGTACGCGACATAGTTACAGTAGCTCTCGTGATGTGATGACGAAGATTTGACTGGCATGATGGCATCAGACTTAGGTCGATGATCTTCTTCTCCTTGTTGAACTTGTTCCGAAATACTTTCTTCCTTGCCTCATTGACTGAGAGGATACGTGGATGCCCGTATATAGAACAGACGAACCATTCTAAACCCCGAACCAACTCCTCGCTTGCTGTCACCTCCGTACCCAAATATGAAAATATATCGATAAAGGCAGTGTTCTTGGTCACGGCTTTCCACACGGCCTGCTTTCCCTTTCGAAAAAAGCTAGATACATAATCGTTTCCGGAAAACGCATGCCTCCCAGAAGAGCTCTTCTGTAACCAGAGACAATCCAGTTGACGTCACGTCGATGATTTTCCTGTTCTTCCCGCTGCCATTGTCAATCAGAGTCTGCGTGTCCGAAAAATTGTGACCAATGAACAAGGTTACTATGTCTATATCACCAGACGGCGACCGTACCATTGCAGTTGAGCTAGGTGGCAATTGGCTAGTACGCACACATGCAACGAGTTTCTTGTCCGCTTCCTCGCGGTCGCTGGTTAATTCTGGTAATGTCGCTAAATATCATCATGATTGATCTTCTAGCACACCGACTTCTTGGAAAAGTATACAATTTTGTCGCTAGTGCTGTCCTTGCCTTCTTCGATGGACTGTTGTATCGGGTCAAAAAGCAAAAGTTATATACTTTTCCAAGAAGTCGGTGTGCTAGAAGATCAATCATGATGATGTAGCCACATTAGAAATTCGATTAGCCTGCTGGATGTCGCAGCCAATATGATATATGATTTTGCTGTTTCACACAACATGAAGCTAAATCCCGCAAAATGTAAGGAGATGCTAATTAACTTTATGCAAGATCCTAATTTCCTCCTGAAGGCAATCAACTTGGCAAATAGAACTGTTCAACAAGTTTCATGTTTTAAATTATTGGGTGTTTATCTCAGCGATGATCTTAAATGGAATGCACATATTGACTACATCTATACCAAGGCATGTAAGAGACTGTACGCCTTACGTATATTAGTGCGTGTTGGTGTTAAGAAGAGGAGCATTATTAAGGTTTATGTAACAATGATCCGCCCGAAAATAGAATCTATTCAGAGAAGAGCCTTAAGGATAATTTTTCCGGAAGTTGGTTCGTGCAATGAAGCTCTTCAACTGACTAAACTAGATACATTATTTAATGGAAGGGTTTCTATATGTAAAGGATATATGAATAAAATGAAGTGTTCTACTCATCCACTACATTTTTTACTGCCCAACCTAACCGAAGATCCTGATCACGAACATTTTTAAGACAAAAAATGCGGGACGTTGTTTTATATAGAGACAAGAAGTTTTGTAAAACTAAAAGAACTGAAGACTTTTTTACCTTTAAATATTTCTAGTTATAAACCTTAACGTAGATTTACCATAATAGGCCTATGTAAATAACTCAGTAATTTAGCTGTTTGTAACTGTAAGTTTTGTAAAACTAAAAGAATCAAAAACCTTTTTACCTTTAAATATTTTTATAGTTATCAACTTTAATGTAATTTTATTATAATACTATGTAAATAACTCAGTAATTCAGTTGTCTTTAACTGCAAAGAGCTCATTAAACCATCTTATCTTATCCTACCAGAATTAACCAACGACCGCGAGGAAGCGGACACGAAACTCGTTGCATTTGTGTGTGCTAGCCAATTGCCACCTAGCTCAACTGCAATGGTACGGTCGCTATCTGGTGATTTTGACATAATAACCTTAGCTTGTTCATTGGTCACAATTTTTCGGACACGCAGATTCCGATTGACAATGGCAGCGGCAAGAACAGGAAAATCATCGACGTGACGTCAACTGGATTGTCCCTTGGTCACAGAAGAGCTCTTTTGGGAACACATGCGTTTTCCGGAAACGATTATGTATCTAGCTTTTTTCGAAAGGGAAAGCAGGCCGTGTGGAAAGCCGTGACCAAGAACACGCCTTTATCGATCTATTTTCATCCTTTGGTACGGAGGTGACAGCAAGCGAGGAGTTGGTTCGGGGTTTAGAATGGTTCGTCTGTATCCTCCCAGACAATGAGGCAAGGAAGAAAGTATTTTGGAACAAGTTCAACAAGAAGAAGAAGATCATTGACCTAATTAAGTCTAATGCCACCATGCCAGTCAAATCTTCATCATCACATCATGAGAGCTACTGTAACTATGTCATGCACATCCTTTGACACGCCGATCAGCTGCTAGTAGAACTTGAGAGCCCCGACGAGCGGATGGGACAGAGATGGAAACGTTGTCTGGAGTGACATTTGCTATCCCGAGGAGATTGATGCGCTACTCGCAGGCACGGAGAGTGAGAACAGTTCGTCCTCCTATGATGACTACGAGGATGATTTGGATGTGTAAATTGAAGACACGAGTGAATTTTGAAAAGGAAAAATGCAAGGTTTGTGATCAGAATGTACATGCTTGTAATGCCATGCATAACATGACCTCAATTTAATGGGGGCAACAGTATTGCTTTTTATCAAAAAGAATAGACATCACTAGCTTTCTTGTTAGTTTAAAAATAGGATCTTCCCAATAGTTTCACTAAATCAAGGATATGTGTGTCAAAAGGAGGCTAGAGGTCCCAATATATCTGCGCATAACTTCGATCTTTGAAATTAGCGCACGAAATTGAGCAAAATCACCAACTTCTTGGCTATTTAAGGCACATATATAGGCACCAAAACGAGGTTACGATACCCCCCCCCCCCGCCCTTCTCCTCCTGGACTAGAATATATATGCCCCAAAACGAGGCTGCATGCATCAAACCGAGGCTGAAGGCCCCGGTATTGGCCCATATAACATCGATTTTTGAAATCAGCGCCCCAAAATTGACCAGAGTCACATATTCTCATAAACTCCCTGCTCGGGTTACGATACCCCCCTTCTCCGCCTGGACTAGAATAATTGCATGCAACTCCAACTACGACTAATACATATCTGAAATACAAGCCAAATCTTTGTTGCAAAATAAATTGTGGATCAGTAAATTCTGCTTTGCTTTCCTGATCAAATAACATCGTCCCCAGAGCCATTTTCACTCGCGCGGTCACTCGTTGAAAATTAGGTTCAGGGTTAGACGACTAAAGGGCGAGATCTGATTGGCTTCTTATAGAGAACGGCTATTTCGCAAAGTCGAGCAGTTTTCGCTAGGCAAAATTATTCTATTAACATAATTATGTCAACACAAATACTTCGTTTCTTCGTAATGCTTCACTGTGAAAATCGTTACGAGTGCTAAAGCGTCCCAATTCAAGAACATGTGCTTTAGAAACTGCTGCAAGTTTGCTTGCACTTCCAGTTCCGTGTGTCCCGAGAGGCCCTGGGAACGAGGATGGCTACTCCACACAAATGTTCGCGCCAGGCCCTTTCCTGTATGCGATTTTTATTCGTCGCATGATCCCGCAAACGAAAAGAGGAAACTGAAAACAACCTATTAATTAATACTCTTTCCGCGACTCAAAAATGCAACATAAGGATAAGGCTTACGGTAAGAGTCATGCATTTAACATATTCACCTACCACAGCGCGGGAATATCACATTTCGAAAGTGCCTGGGCATTGTAAAATCGTTCAAACTTTAGGATTTAAACGTCAATAAAGCTATGTAGAAGTGTACAAGCACTTCGCCTTTGAACCAATGTTCAAATGGAGATAAATCAGCTGCTTTTTTATTTCAGAAGGTAAAAAAAGGTAAGTCTTACACAGTTCTCTTTTGTCTTTATAAATCATGACAATGCATCAATAAATTAAAGACGTGGCTAACGTAACATATATTATTTAATGACCACTACGTAATCTCTTAACTTACAGGTTAAGACAACTATCAGGATATTACATTAATATATCATTTAATATTGCATTGCGTGCACTCGTTTGCATTCGCGCTCTACATAATATACTTTATGATATACATATTCCATGGTAGCCACAACCCATATTTAATATTCTGGGGCCGGTTGTTTAAAACACGATTATAGCGCTAACTCTTATGGGTTAAAATTTTATACCCGCCGTTTTCGTTATTTCTTGACGTCCGTATTAAAAATAATCTGAAAATAAAACTTCCTTTCGTCCTGGATTAATATATCTAACTTTTTAAATAAGTTGTAGAGTAGTTTTCTTTGACGTTTTATGTTGACCCAAATGGACGAGAAGAAGGTTTTCAAAATAGTTTAAAAGTTAAGCTCTAATTCCAAAAAGTTTTAACCTTGAAAGGCTTGGATTTCGTTTGAAGAGGACTTCCCATTTCAACAATCTTGAAAAATAGACGCCATCTTGAAAACTTTAACGACCTTTGGCTAACCGGCTTTCAAACAACCGATCCCTGGTCACAGAAATCGGGCTGACAATTTCTGTACGAATTAATCCAGCTGGCTTATAATTATTTTTGTAATATTTCATGAATCAGATGAGCCAACACTTGTTCATTACATCCAGTTTCGCAAATTTGGATAACTCATACGCCCACTTACTATACTCTCCCAGTTTCGCAGAAAAGAACACAAGAAACTTTGCATTAGAATTGTTTTGTCAGTAGACACAACGCAAATTCCTATATAGTTACGTCTGGTCTATTCTATGAAATAAAAAACGCTGCATATCAGTTTTCGTCCACGTGCATCATTTTAAAAATCCAGGACGTTTGAGGACTGTTTCTCTCGTTTTCAGGAGTTTTCCATGCATGCAGGGTTCATGAAATATGACAAAAATAATTTCGTCAATAAATCCACAAGATTTTCACTACCAATATTGCTGCTATCCAGTCATATCACTTTTAAAAAAGATGGATATACTATGTGCAAGTACGTTTCGTGACAATCCATCCTATATTTAAACGGAACGTTAAGTGTGATCTTGCAAAAAAAATAGTTTTTTCAGGGCTCAGTTTGAAATTCCAAGTGTGTTTACGGAGTTTCCAGAACTTAAGTAAAATCCCGTGTTTTTCAGGGGGCGTACTGTACGAGCGCTGGTATATAGCATTGTGGATTAATTCATACATTACCATGAAATACATAAAATTTTTCATATTTCATAATTGCATACAAATCGCTAGGACGGTTGAGTTTTTCAATACCTTATTGTGCCTTTATAAGCATGGGAATACTTAGCATTTTACTACTTGCAACTGTTCGACACTCCTACTTTCGTCTACACTTTAATGCCATTCCTAAAGTGGTTTAGGTTTTTTCTAGTTCGATCGTTGACTGGTCTCTGAAACGTTTCATCTTATAAATGTCATACATTCTGGGGCACCAATTTTTATGACAAGTGCACCGACATGTCTCTGGATTTCTGTAGTATCCTTTACTACACGTCTCCTTCCAACAAACACATCGACATTGCTCTTTATCCCAAACTTTGCCAGGACCATGACAAACGTGACCAGTTTTCGGACACTGACAACGGCACGAGTGTTTATTCCAGACTAGCGGCGCTTGGCATGTTTGCTGCGCCAATAAACATTCGCACCGGCAAGTTCTGTCATTCCAAAAATGAGTTTTGGAATTACAAGATTTCCTTACTCTTTTGCATGTGCATCCGCATTGTGTTTCATTCAGCAAAACAACTTCAGACACTTTCTTCTTCAATTCAGATACAGTATTGTCTCCTTTGCGCCATGACACTAGACCCACTTTTATAGGAATGTTGGTAGTTGCTAAAGATAAAATATATATTATCATTAATAATTCCCAACTATCCTCAACATGAGGAAAGATGGCAACAAAATTTAGTCAACCTTACAATATGGCGTAGTGGACTGAAACATAGGCTAATACTGCAATGACAGTTCATGCGCCAGGTCTCTTAATTAATACATTGGTAAACACCACATTTCGTGCACAAGGTGCATGGAGGTAAGTATTAGGGGTGTGCTAATCTCTTGCAGCTGAGAGCTAAGTTGAATTACAAAGGATGTACCTGTAGGTCAACCTTGTCGAAAGTCGTGGGTTTCTCCGTGTGCTCCAATAAGCCACAAACTGACTGCCAGAGGCACCCTTAGAAATGCTTCGACTAAAGCATTTCCAAGGGCGCATCTGGAAGCCATGTTTACCCATAGAGCACAGCTAGTCAGTTTGTGGCTTATCCCAGCACACGGAGAAAACCCACGACTTTCGGGTACTAATGAGTCCACAGCAAAAATCGAAGGTTTATTCGTAATATTTTTATATAAACATGCATGCGTATTATATTTTCACGAATCAAGCAAATAATATAATGCTTAAATTAACCATTTTTTTTAAATCACGGATGGCAGTTGGTTATTTAAGTGAAAGAACATAGGACAAAGAAGGCCCTGACTTTTGAACAAATGCGGAGAGAAACATAGATGACGACTTTTATTGTAACTGAATAACTTTCATAATTTTCATCCATTGATCATAAAATTTGAGGTAAATGCTCCTCTATGAGGGTTTAGGCGGCCGTCTCCTGACAAGATGACGTGGATAACTGGTAAACTACTATCACAGATCATCAATGGGTTTTCGGTTTCGCTGAATATCGCCTTACATCAGAAAACCCCCTGCATCCAAAGTAGTATAAACTACCAGAGCGAGCAAGAAAACACTACAGTCTATAGACCAACCTGTAGCAACACATCGTGATAAACGTGGCTCGATGTCACATCCTCCACTACAACGAAACAATTTCACATAGACAGGAAAAGCCAAGGCTCTTCTCTTTTTTGGTTGTGGTACTGGAACCATCACTTCTATTGGCTTGCAAGCCTCATTAACAATAATCAATGCATTTCCTGTAGAATAAAAATTGAAACAGAAACATGAATAGCGTGCATGTGTGCGATTGAGTCGCTTCCAAAATTGACAAAAATAGAAGGTGAGGAAAATAATATTTTCATGAAATTAAACGAAGATGTGCGACAAAAACTTTGATTGTTTTGCTTTAATTTGTAATTGATTTACCACCAAAGTAAGTTAAAAAATAACCACTGAGGAATATTAATTAAATTGTACATTTTTTCTAGGTTATTAAACCAGAAAATTCAAACCAGAGTGTTTCTAGAATTACCAGCTCACGTACGCGCCAATAATCATTGGAGTACCAATGAGGTACAGCGAAACAAACTTGAATTATTGCACCCAGATGTAAATTAAATACTTAGTTGGTTACCTGAGACCTTATTAGGTTAAACCAAGTTCAAACGTCGTGCTTACCGTGGGGAACACCTAGTAATGTAAATGACTTAAACCCTTTGTTAAGTTTAATCCCATTTACCGAACATGAAAAATTTGACGGTTGAAACAAGCCTTAACTTCGTTAATCACGTTTAATCCAGTCAATGCTCACATACAGTTACCAATGATCATAACAGTAGTAGCAACTATAGGCATGTTATCCGAGTTATTCGAACGTGTAAAGTGGATGGCAACAGCCATTGATGAAGAACATACGTTCAATGATTAGGATAATCACAGAAAACTTATTCTGAATAATATATTTATAGTAGGCGAATGTTGATTGGTCGAGAAGTGTGTTGACAAAAAAAAGTCAACTGATCGAGTGGAATTTATGTTGAGGTAATGAGAATTTTCGAATTAATTGATATAAATTAAAAATGGCTATGAAAGCTTCTATTGGGCCGTATTATAAAATAAATGGAAAACATTTTCCCTATGTTTCTGTTCAGTTATAGAAACACTTGAGGTAACTTGAGAGAACCCAAACTGATTATTTCTCGCTCTCCCAAACTCCCATGCGTGTTTCTATAACTGTATAGAAACACGGAAAAATTTTTATATTTCTTAATTAATTGAACTATTAATAACACAGTAACATATAAATGACCAGGAAAACATGCACTATGAAATTTAGATGGATAACCAACCTCTATGTTTTTCTGGTTCTACACTTGGTAAAACCGAAGCGTTCAACATTTCCATAAATGTTTCCAATGATGTTGCCCTCTTCATGGCATCTTGTAAATCCACAGGCATGCCCTAGAAATTAAATAATTCAAGTAAAATTTCAGGATAAATTCAACTTCTTTATTCTTAATGGACTAATTAATTATGAGTCCAGTATGTGGGGTGGATTTCAATACACAGGGCCTGTTCATATGAACCCGATTGGTTTAGAAGCTAGCCCGAATGGGATAAATTATTTCTGTATTCATGTGACTGTTTTTTAACTCACTCCCCCTCGATGGAACGACATTATGCATGTAAATTACGGCGTCTTTGAAAAATGTTTAGCTGTAATTAAACAAACTGCACCTTGCAATACGACTTTAACAGTGCCTATTTGGGTCTAACAATGTTTATTTTTGTTTGTGCCGTTCAATACGATATTATAGGTCAAAATTGGGATAAAACCATCTCGTGGTCAGATGGGATAAAACCTTCGTATGGCTTCCGAAAATTTTATCCCACTTGATAGATCATATCTAGGCAAGGTGAGAGCTCGCCTATCCAGGCTGGCTCGTTTTTCAAATGAAAACAAATTAAAATTTTGCTACGTTAACCAAGTACATGTAGGTTTCACTCACGTGAATTTCCCGGTGCGGTTAGCTCACAAGCCCACAATGTCTCGAAAAAATGCAATATAGACTCATTGACGTAGCAAGAAATTTACAAAAATCCATTACTCCCATATATTAGTCCACATTCTGAGCGGTTCGTTTCAAGTTATACTTCCGATGTCTATCCTAGTCACAGACTGTATTATGGTATGCGCTCATTTTACGGTCATACGCAAGTGATCTGCAGCTATGTTGCGGATTTTGAAGCAGGTTCCACTGGGCGAATTTGCCCGCGCGAAGTGACTTTTCCGTTGTAGGCATCGTTTTTGCTGACGTGATAATTGCGTTAAGGACAAAGGAAAAATCGTCTCGCGCGACCAAAATCGCTTAGTGGAAAACCGGCTTTAACGCATCGGAAAATTCAATCTAAGAAACCAAAGGTTGCATTCCAGTTACACGCGGTTTTCGTAATATGTGCGTAAACACACAGAAAAGTTGAACTTGTAGAATTAATTGCAATTGGTACTCATATAAAATCATCTTTTATAAATTAAATTTTTAGTGACACCCACAAATAATTAGCTGTTGCACTTTTCTCAGGACACCTAGCTGTATTATAACAACTTCGATTTAAATGCAACTATAACCCTAGTCCTTGCCATGTCAATTTCGTGTTAGTATAATATAGAAAGTCATCTTTAACATCCTAATATATGTACAACGAAACGACAAAATAAATTATCTGTATATCAAACAGGTGTCAGCCCTTCCGCATTTTATCCTCATATTAGTCCGTCCACGTCCGTCCGTCCGCCCGCCCGCCCGCCCGCATATCTGTTCGTCCACACCCGTTTGTCTGTCCGCATCCGCGATTTGTCATAACCCCTGACGTTATTTTGATGGCTTGATCGATGCTGTTTTAGACTCCACTAAAACCAGGTCCACACTTCAATGTGTAGTATATAAACGTGCTACTAAATTATGTATCTTATTTATAACAACGCAATCCTGGAACACGCAGTTATTCGAAGAGCTCATTTGGGGAAAGCGCTCAAAACTGAAGATGTCGAAGAAATGTCGAAAGGTTTATGGTATCGACAATAAGAAGTCCTGGTGTACCCAATGCAGATGGAAGAAGGCCTGTACTCGATTTAATAGTTAAACTATTTACTTATTATTAGCTTGCACGGAAATTGCATAACATACACAAATCACCCTTTATTCGAACATTAACGTTACATGTGTTTGCTATCTGCGGAACGGAACGGAGAAAATTTCAGCCCCGTTTACACTGCGCTCAATTTTTGGTACCGTACCACTTTTTGGTTCTTGGACTACCTAAATAGGTAGTCCAAGAACCAAAAAAGTGGTACGGGTACCAATTTTATCCGTGCCGTACCAAAAACTGAGCGCAGTGTAAACGGGGCTTTAGTGCCCGTTCTCTATGATACTAGAGATTTCAGTATTATGGAACTGGTCAGTTTGAAGAAATTATATGTAAAATTTAGCGGGGGACAAGGAAACTAACCATACATGTAAGAGAGGCGTCCCTAGCTGTTAACGCCTATTCGTATGAATGTCAGGCTGCTAAGCAAGAAATCAGCTCGGTTCGTAAAACGTGAACTGATCCAAGACCACCTCTCGAGGATTGATTGTACTTTGACAAGAACAGGGTGGCTGAATACAACTATGAGAAGCTGTTAGAGCTTGGGTAACCTGTCACTAAAATTAAGCAAAGCATTCTGGTCAAAATGCTAGTGCAGTCACATCAGACGAAGCGTGTGGATTGGAAGTTCAGTTTTTTAAAAACAGAAGTAATGGTGACCTGCAAACATTGGTCTGAAGTTGGTCTTTGCAATGACTCTTTTGGGACTATCGAGTAGATTTGGTTTACAGAATATATGGGTCCACCAATATATGGGCCCACTAATAATAATAACAAAACAGAATGTAGAATATATGGGTCCACCAGTAAAAATAGTAATATACCAGAACAGTTGAGGAATGCAATGCGAGTAATTATAATGCGCATCATTTAGTTTAGATCGATCTCGACGTTTTCTCGGATCGTTCTTGATTGTCCATCTAAATCGGGTCGATCTATAAATCACTATTGTGAACGGCCTCTTATATCATGTATATACTTTCTTGCTCGAAATTAGCATCCACGAAAAATCTTCAGCAAGCTCAAGGGTGGAGGTTTTAATGAAATGAACATGAATTTGGGATGACAATTGACGAAAGCTACTGTGAGCTGCATAATAGATTTGGCAGGCGACACTAGGTTACTTGTCAATTTACAGTTTCGGTTAAATGAGAAAAAACGCTTACTTTTTACGGCAATTCATCTTAATTTGGTTAAAAAATGTTCATCAAGCTATGCATATCCATTTTCATTTGTCAACACAACAGTTAAAATCCACCTTTTGAATTTTAATTTGCCAATTTCAAGGTTACATTTTCAGAATTTGCCAAACTAGTACTGGGCTTTCAACAATAAATGTCTAGGTAAATGTTATTATTCAGTGATCATGCATGCATGCCCAACTGAAGCGAATCTGCAGCTTGGAAGACTCTTCTTTACAGTTTAGAGAGTTAAAGTGAAACGATAATCGTACATGGCCGCGTGCAAATTTTGTCCATTTCTGTTTAATCCGAGTTTGCCCTCGATAATTTTCACAGTTTCGATCATATCATTCACTTTGAGATGCTTATCTCTTAAGACTTCTACGCGGTTATAAATTACAACCGCTGTTACAACCAATCACATTTCTGGTAAATGAAATGGATTTTATACTGCCACTGCGCGCCTAAATGACGTGTTCTGCATCAGCAGTTCAATCATAACATGTAGCTGACTGAGACTGGAAACATTAAAATATGCATACCACACAGTCGGGAAAAAAATGCAGTGAAGCCTGCCGCACACGAGAGCAACTTGCTGAGCTAACCGCCTCGCGTGGCAGCTACCTTAGCAAGTTGTTCTCGTGTGCAGATAGTTTTCGTGAGGAGTTGACCTCTCGAGGCCTTGAGGAAAATATCTATATCGTATTTGATATTTTTCACCTCGCGAGGACAAAATCTCAGCGTCTGCGGATGTTGTGAGCTTGGTGCTGAGCTGCTTGAATCAATTAGCCTATCACATGAAGAAACTATGGTTTATCATTGGGAACAAAATGGAGGAAAATGCAAATGAGTTTGCTAATTATGTTGTTGTTGAGTAGTTTTCCCCACGTGTGCGGTGAAAATACATAGTTGAGCTAGCTGCCATTCGAGGCGGTTAGCTCAGCAAGTTTCTCTCGTGTTTTTAAAGCACGTGGGCTTAAAGCAGGGCCTTTTTTAAGGATTTTCCCGTGGGGGGGCATTTTTTGAAAAGGGACCTTTCTGTGAGATACTATATCACAGGGAGATAGCAATGGCTGAAGGCCACGTGTGCGCCGAACATACCATTCACGCATGAATGAGGGGGGGGTGTACTCCCCCCGAAAATTTTTGAAATTTGAAGCACAAAGAAGGAAAAAACCCACAAAAAGTTTAAAAAAATATTAACCATAATTTATCATTACTTATTAGAGGAGGATCCCAATGGTCACGTGTGTGGGGGTGTACTCCCCCAGAAAATTTTTTAAATTTGAAACACGGAAATGCCATCTCCTGCATTCTGAGCATCCAAATTTGCTCTAAAATTTATGCAAACTATACTTGTATTTGAAATAAAAGAAGGAAAAAATGCACAAAAAGTAAAAAAGAATATTAACCGTAATTTATCATTATACTTATTAGAGGGGGATACCAATGGCCGAAGGCCACGTGTGTGGGGGCATAATCTCCAGAAAATTTTTCAAATTTGAAACCTGGAAATGCTCTTTCCTGCATTCTGAGCAACCAAAAAATAAAAAATTATTAACAATAATCAATAATTTATCATTACTTAGTGGTAGAAAAACATAACAAATTAAGTTACTTTCCGTTTATTTATTTGTTATTCTTCGCTGTTTTGCTGGTATAAATTTAGGAAAAAGGGAATTTTCCTGGGGGGGGGAACAAAATGTGATTTCGTGGGGGGGGCACAAGGGGGGACTGGGGGGGGCAAATGCCCCCCAGCTTGTATGTTAAAAAAGGCCCTGGCTTAAAGCATGCGAATGCTCGGATCAAACGAGGATGAGAGTGCATGAGTTGGCAGTCACGCGACCTTGGTCACTGTTCTTAATGCTTTCCTATTACTATCACTACTATTATTTAAGTTATTGTTTAAAACATAGTTGATACACTCATAAAACCTGTATTTTGTTAATCTAAAGCTTCAAATTAAATATGTTCCCCCTTAACAATGCTACGTGACTGCTAATTTTCATCAGCTCTAATCCTCGATTGACCAGGATTCGACTGGGCAATTTAATTTAACGAAGATCGAAAGATTATGTACCCTGCGAGCAAATCCTCTCGTATTTCTTCTCGGCATGGCACGGAGAAGCGAGAGAAACTCTGCAGAACTTGTGTATATTCTTTCTGGAGCCGACAATCCAAAAACTTGGATAATTATGCGTAATTTCAGGTTTGATACTGGTTTTATAACCGGTTTAGTTACAACCGAACCGGAAACTATTTATTAAATCTTCTTCTGGGAAATAGGCAGTTGCTTAGCAACCTTCGCGCATGCTCAAATGAATCTATACACAAGTTCTGCAGTCTCTCTCGCTTCTCCGTGCCGTGCCGAGAAGAAATACGAGAGGACTTTGCTCGCAGGGTAGAGGGCCAATCTAGGGGCCAGATGAGGCTTTGCTGAAACTGAAAGCTGCTGAGCTGCATTATCATGCAATTACCCATTTATGCACGGTGTTTATTGAGGATGGTTCTTGACCCTATAAACAGTTTTAAGTATTTCAATGGGAAAATATTTTCATGTACAATGCTCCGATTTAGCCATCATTTATAGCATAGTTGGAACACACCCGTAAAGACCTGATTCCACGACGGCGAAAATTTTCGCGCGAAATTGTATCTGCGAAATATGGATGGTTGCGCATGGGCGATTCTATTGAATTTTACCAATTTCGCTTTCGCAGTGAGTAGAACTGACTTCTACTCACTAGCCAGCGAAGCGAAATCTTTCTTGCGAAGTCTACTTTACTTGCGCATGCAGTGCGAAATGTTTCGCATTCCGCCGCGAAAAAGTGCTTGTGGAATCAGACCCTAACAATACGTGACTGCCAACTCTCATCAACTCTCATTGTTGTTTGAAGGGGGGGAAGGTCTTAACTTAGCACATTAACCACTCCAAAACCGCAGGATTTAATGCATTTCCGAGGACCCCATTGCGTGACTGCCAACTCTCATCAAACTCTCATGGTCTCGTTTGATTGGGGGTTAAGCTATATGTAAGCGAAACAAAACACATCTGAAAAAACTCATCTGTTGGTTTTGTCTTTGCAAGTTCCAAAAGTAAAATTTTCTTTTTATTCCGCTTATGCTTATCTCACTTGTGTGAACCAGGCTTAAAGCGGACTAAAAACTGTCAAGTTGGAACGCTACAGCATGTTCATAAATGTTTGCGCGGGCAAAGCGAAAACGGCCTTAACTTAAAACTGTTACATTTTCTACGTTTGGTGTGCAGGAATTCAAATTCAGGTCAAATTAAATTTGTCAAATCAAGTTTAAAATCCAATCAATATCATGGCGTTGACAAGATGAGAACCACCCATATGGTAGTTCAGTTCAGGGTTGCAAAATTATTTTAATTTATGAATAGATTGTCATCGCACACAAGGAAAGCAAATCAATCTTTGCAACCAAAGTGTATTGGAGGGTAACAATTGCAAAATTAAGAATACGTCAAGTAAGCTGGCTCGAATTACCAGCATTCACTTGATAGCAAATTGGTAGCCGACCGCTTAAAATTTTATAGCTGTTAACGAGCGTATCTTCAAACGAACATAGCTTTCAACAGAACTAATTTTAACTATTGATGACGTCAATATTATTGGCTTTTTTATCCCATATCAAAGTTAAATACGTCAAACAAAATACGATAACACATTGTTAGCTCGAACTCATAAAATAACAGCTTATGTGAATACTTAGTTCCATACTTTCCTGCATACAATAGATTGAGGTCCTGGCACTACACATTATGCAGGGGGACTTCACCCACATTTTGCACAGAAAAAGTTCCAAGGGAAAAAAGACCCATAATCATAATGATTTAATTATCGGGTGTAGGTAACAGGTCTAAAAAATGGTTTCCACATGGTGCAAAATGTAAACGGAGCATTTGGAAGTTTGGTATGAACCACGCATGATGTGAACAAAAATAAACCATCGCAGAACAAACTTATATGTTCAGAAACAATAACGCATTAATGGATTGCTATATGCATTTGAGCCATATGTTGAACTGAACGTGTTGATAAATAGCTGTACCATCTCGGAATCGTAGTATATATTGTGTACATTTATCCAGGTTAAATGGACATCTTTTATCCCAAAAGTCAATTCTGAAGTGACTGGAATGACAACTTGGAAAATATCGATGTATTCATGTTTTAGAGCGGTTCAAGGAATGACCAGACCAGTTTCGGTGACTCTGCCTCACTATTTGTTGTAATTGTAAATTGTAATATATTTTATACTGGCGAAGTTGATAAATTAAAATTAAATCAAATTAAGTTAAATAATTTTTTCTGCTACCTAATGCTTCATACAGCATGCACGTACTCCTTGTTCATGACTGACGTGCATTTGATGGGGTTATTCACAAAATACGTGACGCTGCTTTTGCCAAATTTTTACTCCTCCCTACCCCCTTATGACAATGTGTGACAGCGAGCAGCACACCCCATCATAAAATACGTGACTCTGAGCCAAACATCCCTTCCCCCCAAAATACTCACAAAACACAAATTTAATATGCAACAACAGATTCAAAATGTTATCTATATATATAAATCGACACTATTTCAATGATTTATTAAACCTCGGCCTAAACAGTTTCCCACTCAGGTTCTCGCTGGTTCGTTATAAACGGGAGTGGTCTTGTTTTGTTATAGACAGGGATAAATTTTCCCATATACGCCTCTCCGTCACGTGATACCGTTTGTGATACCTCTCCCCCACTTGTGACACTATGTGACTCCCGACCAAACACCCCTACCCCCACGAGCGTCACGTATTTTTTGAATGGCCCCTGAACTAACCAGACAAGAGAGGGAGCTTATCGGAAAGCTATAAAGAATGTATTGTTGCGAATTTACGAAAAACATCTTCATGTGTCATCGTCTTCAGTGTATATAAACATCCACTTTACTTGTTGCTGAGAACGAAGCAATCAATGGGGTCCTCGAAAAAGAATGCATTAAATCCTGCGGTCTGGTATTGTTTAATTTACTAACTTGCCTCTCAAACGAAAATAAGAGTTGATGAGAGATTGATACGGGGAATTTCAAGCTCTAAATTAACCAAACGAAGGTTTTATGACTGTTCCAGCCATGTTTTAACTTAAATTGAATACAAAACGATTATAGTTGAAGTATTATATATAAAAATATTTTCCCATTGAAATAAGCTGTTTATAGGGTCAAAAACCATCCTGAATAAACACAATGCATGCATAAGTCGGTAATTGATATATATATATATATAATACAGCTCAGTTTCAGCAAACTCATTCGGTCCCTCGATCCCATTCCATTCTCCATCTAGTCCCCAGGCTGGTGAGTAAAGCCATGGCCAATCAAGGATGACGATTGATGAGAGTTGATCATGCACGCAATGTTATGGAGGACATTTCAAGCTTTGGATTAACAAAATAAAAGTGTTCATTAATTCCTGTGGTTCGGAAGTGTTTAATGTGCTAACTTTAAGCCCCACTCCCCAGTCAAACGAGAAGGACAGTTGATGAGGGTTGGCAGTCACGAATTGTTACATGAGACATTTCAAGCTCTAAAGTAACAAAATACAGTTAACAACTATTCAACTTACAAAATAGGAGTTTGACTAATGGTCGCGGGTCGCGTGTCGCGGGTAAAAAGTCGCGGGTCGCGGGTAAAATGTCGCGGGTAAAAAGTCGCGGGTCGCGGGTAAAAAGTCGCGGGTCGCAAAAAAGCTCTAAACCGTGTATTTTATTGAGTCGCGGGTTGAATAAAGTGTGTAAAAATCACATTAACATTTAGTTATTTAACGGTTTTTATCAATAGTTGTTCGAAGATGTTATGGCTGCAATTGCGAGTTTCTAGATAAATATAGACAAGAATCATATAACATTATTGTAAAGCACGTTGATAGACGGTAGTGCAAAAGGATTCTGTTACACATTCCTATGTTAGATG